TGTGCCATCGCAATTTATCTATAATGTATTATGGAATCCGGCCATGTTCATCGCACCATCGAGGTTTGGGTCAATAGTGCGTTGACGCGATATTGCAATGACGATGAAGCGATAGTGGGATGACGAAGATGTAATGGCGCAACAATGCCATGACGATGGTGCGATGGCACGATGAAACGACAGCACGATAATACGATGGTACGATAGCGATGATGCGATGACGATGGAGTATGGAATCCAGATAGGGTCACGTAGTTCATTATCGCACATCAAGCATCGATTAAAGGGTCGATGGCACGAGAATGCAATGGCGAGATGACGATGACGCGGCGGTGCGATAATGATGATGTGTTGGCGCAATATGCGATGACAATGGTGCAATAGCACGATGGAGTGTCATTGTACCATCGCGTCATCGTCATGGCACTATTGTATCATCGCTATCGCACCATCGTGCAATCGCATCATCGTAATCAAGCTATCTCATCTACGCTTCATCGTCATCAAAACATCGCTTCATCGTCATCAAAACATCGCTTCATCGTCATCAATTTATCACGTCAATCCAAACCTCGATGTTGCGATGATGCGATAGTGAATTACATGGCCATATTCGGATTCCATAATGGAACGATGACGATGAAGCGATTCTCCTATCCCTTCATCGTTCTCACGCACCATTGTTATCGCATCAACCCCATCACTAGATCGCGTCATCGCTTCAACGTCATCACACTATTGCGTCATCGTGCCAGCGACCAAACAGTCAAAGTTCGATAATTCGATTGTGAACTACATGACCCTACCCCGATTCCATAGAAAGTAGCAATCTTTATTTTTGCATTTTAACGTCATGGTAGCTCAGTCGATAGAGGGCTCGTTCCGTGATTGGGAGGCCGTGAGTTCGAATCTCGGCCGCGACTGACCTAAGTAGATTAAAAAAAAGGAAGCAACTGTTCCTTCGCCAAGCGCTCACTTTGAAGTGAAAGTTGCGGATCCTTCGGATGAGACCTTAAAAACCGAGGTCCCGTGTCACGGTAGGCGTTGGCACGATAAAGATCCCTCATTGCTCAATGGCCCTGAGTGTCGAGTAAAGGTCTAAAATTGAAGCCATTCACTGGTATATGGAGACGTCTCTATATGAGTGAAAAATTCTCGAATGGGACGTTAAACAACATACAATCAATCAATCAATATTTTTGAATTTTTATTTCTGAAAAAGTAAGTTCATATCTTCAATGTGCAAAGTTTTAATAAAGTGGAATGAACGGTTGAGGATATAGATTATACGAAGAGAGAACCCCAAATTGGGTGATCGACTGACGGATGCATGCGGAGTGGAAAGGTTACTAAAGGATGGGGACTATGACATTGAGACACAAGGCTTGAATGTGTAGATAATTAAATGCCGGAAAAAAGAAATCTTAATTAATTACCAAACATATAACTAAATAATTGAAAATGTGGCGTTCTAAATTGGAAAATCTCAAAAGTAGAATAGCAATTGACACTTCATCATGTTAGGGGGGTGGAGTGGGGGGGGGGGTGGAGCCAGAAAAAAAGATTTACAACTTACCTGAAAAACTTGGATAAGCATAGGCAAAAAATTTAAGTGTAATAACTCGAAAATCCTATTTCGGGTGGGAGGGGGGTGGTGGTTACAACTTTCTTCCACAACCAAATACATTACCCTTTAACCTTATTTGGCTACACTACACCAAAAAGTGGGGGAAGGGCAGGCATTCAAAGAACATTTTCAACAGTAAGATGTTATTTTGGAAAAAAGGAGGGGGTGGGACAAGCCCCCCTGCCCCTATCCTCACCCTCCCCTATACTACGTGCCTGCAATAATGTAAGTCATTTCCTTGCCGGGGACTTTAAAGAAACTTCTAAATTGTATAGAAGTCTCCGTGCTGAAATGTTGTGTTTAAGAATTTCTTATGAGTGCGCATTCGAGAAATCATTTTCCATTTTAGGGTTTAATCTTTTTTGTTTATTTTTTGTTCATTTTATTTAAAAAGCCGACGAATATAAAACGCAAACTAATGAAATAACGTTTATTTTTGGTTTTGTTTGGCGTCAGATTACCAAAAATAACATTATCATTTGTTTATCGAATTAACGATCTGTCACAAATAGGTAATAATAAAAATCAATTTGTGTTTTTTGTGACTTTTTCTTTTAACTTTAACAGGACCGTAATTTATGGAATCTGGATAGTGCCACATAGTTCACTATCCCACTATCGACTGTTTGGTCGATGTTACGATGGTGCGATGACGATGACGCGATGGTGCAATAAAGATGACGCGATGCATCGTCATCGTACCATCATGTTATCGCTTTCGTACCAACGCGCTATCGCTTCATCGTGCAATCGCACTGTTGTCATCGCACTGTCGCACCATCCCTTCATCGTTATCGCAGTGACCTTTATCATCACTAATTGAGTTTTTGTACCATCGATCCAAAACTTCGATGGTGCGTTAATTCAATAACAAACTAAATGGCCCTATCCGGATTCCGTAGTAGTTGACATGCAAATTATATGCAATGTAGACGGAAACATTGAAATTTATAAATCAATCAAACTTCTTTGATTTTATTAGTCAGGTGATTCCCGTTTTTCCGCTTACTTCTGAGTATAAAAGAGAGAGAAAATTTCATATCTGTACCTTTCGGACTCAATCTGATAGACGACTCGGTAAGTACCTTATTAGCATTAAGAAAAATTATTTTGCCTCTTCTTGGCATGAATTTTTGCTAGCAATTTTAAGGAAAATCGAAAACAATTTTATTTCTCTTCCTTTTTTCTTTAAAGATGTTTATGATGTTTTCATTTTGATTATCTTCACAATACAGTCCATTAAGCTTTTTTTAAAATAGTTTTTGCATTGATGAAAGAAAAAAGTTTTTTATGGAAGCATAATGCAAATTTTTTTTAATCTCTCTCTCATCAAATCCATATCTTTATCATAATCTCCTCCCTCCAAAAATTATTTTAATCAAGCAAATCGATGTCAAATGTAATCATATACTTTATTTTTTTCAAGAAAAATTCTAACAGGTTATATCTCGAAGAAAAACATTATAACAATGGATTTTTTACAATATATATATATATATATATATATATATATATATATATATATATATATATATATATATATATATATATATATATATATATATATATATATATCAGAAAAACACTTTAAAACACTTTTTGAAATATTTCAACCGTGTTGAACAATGTTTTATGTCCATTTATTTACATTTGCAAATATTTTTCTAAGATGAACCTATTGAAGAGAAAATATCTTGTCTATATATTTCTGTACCGTTGACACTGGTTTCGGAACTTCTAAGCCGTTAAAGCGATGAAAAAGATAAAATTATTGAAACATATATGTTTTTTTTGTTCAACAAATGATCATTCTTCCGTGTGAAGAATGTTAAAATCACGCTTACCTTTTTAACCCGAAATTCCTTTGAAGGTATGTAAACTGAAGACGATACCACCGCTTTTGACTTCATATATTAAGAACTCATACAATAATAGTAAGATTATTCTCAGTAGCGACCATAGTTTTTTCATTATGAACAGATATTTCCTGAACTGGACTGCTGAACATCAATGTAAGTATTCAAATGTTGGAGCGAGGCGAACTCTCAAGACCAAACAGCTTCTAGGTCATTGCGCGTCACAACATAGCAATACGGCGGGCCGTTCGTATAATAAATGCAGTTCTTTTCAGAATATTCGTCTCAAATGTAAATAAAAGTAATAAACAACAATGTTAAAAATTCACTGGGAAATGAACTTGGTTGGTACGTGATCAAATCTTCTGAGAAGCCCTTCGGGCTTCACAGGATTTGATCACGTGACTAACCAAGTTCATTTCCCAGAGAACTTTTTAACATTGTTGTTTATTTCTTAAATAATAATAGGTCATAATACGTTGCTCAACATTAGTTGCTATGCATTTAAATAAACACGACTGATGAAGGCCGGTAACGCCCCTAACCAAAAAGCACTATAGTTAACTATAGTTTACTATAGTTAACTATAGTATCAAAGTTTTTTCACTATAGTAAATCGCAGTATTTTCACTATGGATTTCAGATCGTTATGTTTTTTGTTCTTCAAATTCATACATGCACATTTTTTATATTACATTGAAATATTATTTGTATATTCACACATTATTTCTAAATTTTACAATACTCTAATCGAATTCTAGAGATTTTAAGCTTTGAAATCTCAAAAACAGTTCCAGAGTAAAGTTTGATAGTAAATCAAAGAATCAAAGTTTTCACTATAGTTACACACGCACACAAACACACAGATATATATATATATATATATATATATATATATATATATATATATATATATATATATATATATATATATATATATATATATATATATATATATATATATATATATATATATATATACACGAGGGTTGTCCCAGAAATACGCGAACATTTTCAATATCTTTTGTTTCACTAACACTACTATAAAGTTAAAAAATGATTGAATAATGCATAAAAATTTCAGTGAAATATCTCTATAAATAACAGTTCCTTCTCCGGTAAATCAGTTTTCGGCGCAACACTGACGACATCAAAGCTTAGCTCGTGGCGTTTGTGAATTAGTTCTGGAAACGTGCTTTTGATAAAATTCGTTTAAGCATAAATTCGGCACTGTATTTAATTTTCTTTTATTTACCAAGTTATACATCTCAAGTACTAGTGCTACCAAAAGATTGCGGAATTAATTCTTTTAATACACAAATTTACAATCCCGATAATAAACCTAACAGTTCGCATTGTCTAACGGTGGCCTTCACTTAGGCCCAAGACGTCCTGCTCCTGACTTTCAGTTTGTCTTCATTTTTGTTGATCTACAAAACGCCTCTTCTATCGGATAACCAGTCAAGCCATCCTCAAACCTCTTCAACTAGGGATTAACCTGTGTCCGAGATTTATGTTTCTGTTTTTACACTGTTAACATCTCTTTTTTCGTATGGACAGGAGTCAAATCCCGCTCAACACAGTACTGCTTAATAATTTGGTGCGCCACATTATCACCAAACGTCGCCATTTTTGACAATATCTAATTAAAAGTGTTTTGGAAAATAATGTCATATATATGTCATCAATGATGTCAAATTAATGAATTTTCATACACAAATAACCAGATCAAAGGGTATTTATGGAGGTTTTTGTGACATTATATTTCCGTACAGCCTGGTAATAAAGAAAACTTCATTGAGAATATTACTTTTAAAAGTAAAAGAAATTGCCGTGCGCCGAGCACCGATATTTAACACCCTTTAAATGCTGTTTTATATACTTATGTGCAATACTTAACGTGCAAAAAATTATGAGTTTTTGTCGAATAGTTTCTGAAATATTCAAAAAGTTCTCGTCTTTCTGGGACAACCCTCGTGTATATATATATATATATATATATATATATATATATATATATATATATATATATATATATATATATATATATATATATATATATATATGAACAGGTAACCATGAGAGCATTTGTACTCCTGATATCCGTTGCGGTCTGCAGTGCTGGTCCTCAAGGAGAAGTATATGCAAGACATGGAGGAAATCGTATGTATTTTTTGTCATCTTAATTTCCATCCTGTTTGGCTAATCTCAATATTTCATAAATCAAGACTATTCTGTAAGGATAATATGTTTCATAAGACTAATCCTTTCTTTAAGGAAAATGAACATGGTAGAGTTTATCGACAGCTTATTCGATTCATATAACCGGAAAAGAGCTATATTATTTGAAATTGGATTCAATTAAAATAACTTTTTAGAGTTCTGTCTGAATAATGAACTATTGATGGAATACAAATTAAGAATTAATTTAGTTTTGAATCTATTCTATCTTTTGTTTGTCTTTTAATTCTTCATGAAAAATAAAACAACTTACTTGATTTCACTTTAAAGTTTCCATTTTCTTGTTATATCACAGAATATAAATATGGTACATGTCCAAATCATGGCACCAATGAAGCAGACTATGGACATGAATGTTTTCACGAAAGCCAATGTCCAGGGGTCCAGAAATGTTGTTACGTATAATATTCTCCTAGAAGAGTGTGCATGGTTCCTCAAGAATATAGAAAGCCAGTTGGACCTTGTCCACACTATACTAACCCAGTCATAGGTGGAGATTGTAACCACGATTATCATTGTGGTGGTTATCTGAAGTGCTGTAATGGATATAGAGGAAATGTGAACACATGCACTTTTCCTGCATACTACAGTCAAAATTTCCCTCTGAGAGGATTCGGATCTGTTGGAGAAGTCGGGGTAGGATCTGTTGGAGGAGTCGGGGTAGGACCTGTTGGAGGAGTCGGGGTCGGACCTGTTCGAGGAATCGGAGTCGGACCTATCCTTGGTGGCGGCTATAAGAGAGCAAATGTGTATTAAATATCCAAATTTTATAAAACACATTAAATATAAGATTGACATTTTGTAAAACAAACGATGCGAACGAAAATATAAACTTTGTTATAAGATGTTTATAAATTTGCAAATACACAGTCATATGCATGTATATATGTTTTCTTTTCATTTAAACTATATTTTTTTAAAGGTAATTTTGTTTCCAAAAAAGGTTTCTAGCTAGGCTTTCAATCCGGTTCTGTGTCATTGATTACGAGCAAACCTTGAAGAAAAGATATACTATCGTGGTTTTCCTATTTCAAAGGCAGTTTTATATCCAGAAACAGTAGAAATTACATAAGAAACATTAGAAAGTAGGGATTGAAGCGGAGGGGTCAGGGTTCAACTGTTTCAACTTTGCGTTACTTTCTGGGATAAAGAATGATTTTTTTTCTACCAAACAAATATAAAAAAAATTGTTGTGCCTTAAGGTAGGAATTTTCCATTCAATACACACATGACCATTTAATTTTTTTTAAATCGGGATGTCTGGCATTAAAGGTAAAAAAAAAAAGATTCTTTTAAAATTTGTTTAATGACATAAAAGTGTACGGTTTTTTTTTTCCATTTTGAAAGGGAGATGTTTGATAATTAGCATTTATATCACAAGTTTCTGAGCTCAAGACGCCGTCGCCGTGCTTTGAAACTGTTTTCCATACAGTTTTCACACAAACTGAAAGAACTGCAAACTATAGTATTGTTCTCCCGCCTACCTCCAAGTCAATTTTCAAAGCTTAATATATTTGAATGATTTTTCATTTACATTTTTTTATAGATATTAATAAGAATTTTCATTAAACATTACTTTTTTGGAAAACAAAGAGAGATAACTATAATTTTGGTAAAACTTGTGTTTTCCACTATAGAAATCAATGGAAAACGGAAACTATTTTAAAAACATCTCCCCCCCCCCCCCCCCCCCCGAAACAAAAAATCCTTTTTAAAGGTAATATGGATTGTTATTTCACTAATTCATACCAAAGCTTTTTGTGTTTCACGGGGGGGGGGGGGGGAGCATATGCTTACAGACAAAAAACGACAAAAATGATCATTTTTCACCAATTTCGAAACAGTTTACAACTTAAACGTTGTATTTTATCAATTACATATGTTTGATTTTATATGCGTAAAACATAAGGAAATATTTAAAGAACATTTATCCATATCCAAGAATATTTTAAAATATGCTGATGCTTTCAAGCCTGATTTCAATGGAAAACATCGTCTACCCCCTTTTAAAAAGAGTTTGAATTAAGAGTTATTAACTATTTAACACTGGTATTAAATTTATTAATCAATTACCATTGAACTCTTCTTTGCATTCAACAAAGATTTTTTTGGCCAAATTGCCATTAGTATTGAATTAAATGGGTGTAAAATGTTGGCGGGAATCGGGAGTTAGAGTGCAAAGTCCTTTAAATACTCTGAAAATACATTGGGATCGGTATACCAAAGGGATCGTAGAGTGAAGAAAGACTGAAATCTCTTTTGGGGGATAGATGGATTAAACATGTATTTTTAAAATAAAAAAAGAAAATCATTATTTCTAATAATTTTGATTTCGTTACTCATTTAGCTTTGAAAGTTGGGGAATCATATTTCGATTTGATTGTAAGATTTTATATGATAAATGCTGCACTCTATCGGTCTTAATATACTCTGACGATTTTCTGTAAGTATCTATAGAACCTACGATATGTATCTCTTTTAGTCAATAAAACCGTATTTCCAACCCATCCCACCACAAACGGAGCCAAATCCATTTGCTTTCCTTGTGTATAAACAATCTAACGCCGTCTTGGTCTCAGATTCTACAAAACAAATGCTACAACAGACGACAGACCTGGGAGCTATAATTACTGCGCTTGGGTTGACAGGTTTTCAGGGAGTTTATCTATGCATAAAATTTGTTCTTTTTTCTTAAAAATTCAAGAAACACTGTATGTTCAGGTTGATATCTTGCGTGATACATGTATATATGGGACAGGTCCAGTTGTTTTGAAACTAGATAAATGTGGTACGTGACCCTTACATATGTAATGATTGATAAAGATTAATTTATTTTAAACGTGCTGAAAACTAAATAAATAAAAAGAACAAATTAAATAAATAGATTTTGCTAAAACAAAGACTACATCACCCTCTCATGAAAATATATACAAAGCTCTATCCTGACTTTTAGTACTGCTGAATTACAATCGTCCATTTATTCCAAAAAACCACGGAATTAGATGTCTTCTTATCGGTCACCTTCAATCCTTCATAAATAACTTTTGATTCTTGCTGTACATCAAATACTCAAACGTGAGTTTATAAATTCAATCAACTTTAGGATATTCTTGAAGCTTTCTTCTGGAAAAGGAGATGGACATAACCTTTAACCTTATTCGTTTCTGAAGTTCTTAACTAAAAATTGGACCTTTATAGTAATACCGTAAAGCGTGTAATGTAGGTAGAAGAGTTCTCATAATCAGTAGTCTCTCATTATAGTTTACCTTCTCTAACCCACTTCCAGAGCAAAATAAAATTACTCTGAATTTGGCTGTCACAACATATGTAAATACTGCTGAAGTTCGCACCGCGTTTGTCCCGTCTGTGCATTTGAAAAAAAGCCGGGATTTTAGTGTAGTCCAGAATTAGTAAGACTGTAATTCATGCATCTCTCTTGAAACTTTTAGTTTTATTCAATAAGCATAATGCAGATTGACTGAGAAGGTGTATGTAAAGTTTAGTTTTAAAAAAGGTAACTTCATTTTTATTTGTGCATAAGGTAAGACCAATCATAAGTTCCATAATAATTGAAGCTAAAGGTTACTCACTTATTTGCTTTGATCCCGATGCATCTGATAGTCATGCACCTATACTTCACTGGATGGTATTTTTCATAGAAAAATGATGGGAAATTTCTTTCTCTGAAAACTTTTAATCTGGATTTAAACTTTTAAAAATGTTTTTCGAAGACTATCAAAACTACAAAGAATCAAAAAGCGAATAGATAATAGGGGGTTAGTGGGGGAAAATATGCATATTTTGATGGCTAACATCTGAGTTCAGTAAAAATGGCTTTCGCCTCAGTATAGTCAGCGGAATACATCCTTAAAGGAGAATGTAAACTATGGCACGCTGATTGCATCAAAAGTATTCACAATACTGAAACAGACATTATTTTAAAATTTTGATTCATTTTAATTTTCTACCAAATATTTAAATCGTTGAAATTTCATTCTGTTTGACCTACATAAAATTTCAAAACACTTTTATCTCTCGATGTTCTCCTCCCTTGAAAATACCGAAAATGCAATGTCTTAACATTTGAAGGAAGCAATTTTAATTTTTTGAAAAATTTAATTCGTTGAAATTTAATCTCATTTGACCAACAAAATGTTCTCAAGACACCTTATGATGAAGTACGCTGTTCAATAAACCGAATTAACCTTGTTCAAACAATGTTTAAAAGCAATTCAAATATTCTGAAAAAATCAAATCGTCGAAATTCCCTCTTATATGAACTC